TGACCAAAAATGGACTGTGACCAACCCGACTATGACCAATCTGACCATGACCAACCTGTCCCAGTTACATAGCTCTGGTAGTGACTGCTGCCGCCTATCAGAGATTGCCGACACTGCCTGATGACGACTTCCGCCACCGCCTGACGATGACTGCCGCCACCACCTGGCGGAGACTGCCACCACCACCCAACCATAAATGCGTCACCGCCCCGCCAGTCCTTAAACATGCCGCCACTGCCGCCCTATCTTAAACGCGTTGCCGCCTCGTCGCCTCCGCCCGACGGCGGCTGCCGCTGCCAACCAACCTTAAAGACGTCGTCGCACCGCCCTACGTTAACGCGTCGCCGCCCGCCTGAAACCCTAACCCACCATTGATTCAACCCGACGAAGCACAGATCGGGATCCCAAATCGTCAAGAAATAAGTAGTCCGTCATCTATAAAAGATCCAGAGAAATAGAATATGAAAAGAAATGATATGGACGGTGGTCGGAGACAAGGGACGGAGGTGACAAGTTGTGACGCGAGCGGACGGAGGCAGAGCTGCGCAGACAGAGGCGGAGGTGTCGGTGTTCTTTCAGGGGACGGGAGCCACAGGCTAGCCGTCGGCATCTCTTGTTGTCACCGTCGACATTGCCGACTGCGGTTGGGGGACTTTGCCTGGCATGGGCGTAGCTAGGGAGGGGCCAACCCTGGCCCCAGCCCAGCCCAAATTTTAAAAATGTTTATATTTTTAAGGTAAAAAGTTTCGTGTAATTTTGTTTCCAAAAATGTTCTTTGTGCCGGCTCAGTCTGGTCCAGTGTCCTGGCTCCGCCCTGTTGCATGGTCTGTCGCACAAGTAAGCAGAAGCGGAGATGGAGTCTATCTTCTCGACTGTTGCTTGGTCTCTTTTTTGTCCTAAAAAATGGTCCTATTTTTGTCCCGTTCAATAGTCCCAAGTCTTATATTGACATTATTTTTTTCATAAATTATATATCTACTTTTCTAAACGAGAACTACTTCTTAGTGACGTTATGACATTGTTTTTTGATTTAAATCACCAAGCCACCACCGGTGAAAGTTTAATTAATTTTGAAAAGAAATCTAAATTTTGAAAGATAACCACATAAATATTACTTCCTCCGTACGTCTCAGATTTATTTTCGGTTTTGACTGGGCACAGAGGTTAAGAAAAGGCACTTTTGTGCTTTGACTTTCCACTTGTGCCCTTGAGCTATTTCGGCCAACAAAGGGGGTAATACTCCACAAGAATGGGGTAATAAACAGTACACTAAAAAGGTAGCAGCCTTTTTTTACTGCAACAAACAGTACATCAAAACAAAAGTAGCGGCCAGGAAAAAAACTAAAGTAGTGGCGGGAATTCTCAATTATTTGTCCACTTCCCTCCAAAAAATTAAAATACCACAGATTTCAGTCTATATATACGAACAAATGTTTCTCAAAATAGCTAAAGAAAAAAAACAAGAAGAGGTAAGGTCAAAGAAATGGCAGAAATAGTTCCAAAAAAAGAGGTTGTCCAATGAAACAAGGTAACGAATCATGCAACATCTTCTCATCAACTCCTCAAATGGTAGGCTCAACAGAGGAGTACTAACTGCACTTGCAATAGAAAATGTTGTGTCACAAAGGTGTATCTCATTCATTTGGAAGCAAGTAAATAAATGTGAGATGAAAGGTTTACCTATTAATGTGGACAAACAGATGGCTGGAAAGGTAGGCAGAAAAGCAAAGATTCTACTTATTACTAATGTTAAGGAAATACAACTTGATAAAAGAGAGAATATCAAGAGTCAAGCTGCAGCAATGGGATTTTCAAAAAGTACAGTGCGCAGACTCATACAAAAAGGTGAATTAAAGGCACACACAAATGCTATCAAACTCTTTCTTACTGAGTCAAACATGATTAAGAGACTTGAATGGGTCATTTCACACATTGTCCTAGAATCAATGTTAACACAATCGGTGTTTGATCCCATGTTTAATTATGTGCATGTAGATGAAAAATGGTTTTATATGACCAAAAGCTCAAATAGGTACTACCTGCTTCCAGGGGAAGAGGAACCTCACAGGAGTTGCAAGTCCAAGAGGTTCATCACCAAAGTGATGTTCCTCTATGTTGTTGCTAGGCCCAGGCTATCAGAAGACTCACAAGTCTTATTTGATGGGAAAATTGGTATTTTTCCCTTCACATCATTTGAGCCAGCAAAAAGAAACAGCAAAAACAGAATTGTAAGGACAATTGAAGAAAAGGCAATTGACAGTGTCACAAAAGATGTTTACAGACAATGCCTACTCAGTAAAGTTCTGCCTGCCATCAAGGCCAAGTGGCCAATTGATGCATCTGGGGACATATATATACAACAAGATAATGCCAAGCCACATATAAGTCCAAATGACAGTGAGTTCATGAAGGAGGCTACTAGTGAGGGATTTAACATCAAACTATCATGCCAACCACCTAATAGTCCTGATGTAAATGTGTTAGACCTGGGCTTTTTAGAGCAATTCAGTCCTTAAAACAAACAACAGCAACTTCAATAGTTCCAGAGTTGGTGGCAGGGGTGAGGAATGCATTTGAGGGCTTAAGCCCTCATACTTTGAACAATGTATGGGTATCACTACAACTGTGTATGAATGAAATTTTGAAAGCTAAGGGTGGGAACAACTACAAATTACCCCATATTGGTAAGGACATATTAGAAGGGATGGGGGAACTACCAATTTCAGTGAATGCAGACACAACAACAATGAAAGAGGTGATGCAATTGTTGGAGGGTGTTAATGCTCAGGAGTAGGTTGCAAGCGGATGGTTTTTGGATGAGCAGGGTACAAGGGTTTTTGTTTAAAAGCAAACAAGGCACTAATGTTTCTAGGTTTTTGGGTTTTTGTATGTACTAGCTACAAACACACAATTTTTTGGGTTTTTGTCTTTTTGGATTTGGGGTACAAATATAGATAATGTACACAAACAACATTGTCATAAGCTATGATAACATCTAGTCTTATCTTTTGAATATACAAGCAGACTTTCATCATTAAGGCATCAACAAACAAGACTCTCAGACTTTAAAACAAAATCACAGAATCCATAGAGGGCTGCCCTAAGCCTCCCTAGGATTAACCTAGTTGCTTAAGGCAATGCTCAGTTAGGCACACACTTTGGCATCAACAAATATGACTCTCAGACTTTAAAACAGCATCACAGAATCCATAGAGGGTTGCCCTAAGCCTACCCAGTATTAAACCGATTGCTTAAGGCAGTCCTCAGTTAGGCACACACTTTGGCATCAACAAATAGGATTCTCAGAGTTTAAAACAGCATCACAGAATCCATAGAGGGTTGCTCTAAGCCTCCCCAGGATTAAACTGGTTGCTTAAGACAGTCCTCAGTTAAACACACACTTTGATATCAACAAATAGAACTCTCAGACTTTAAAACAGCATCACAAAATCACATAGGCATCAACAAATAGGCATAAGACATGGACTACCTTAGGCCGTAACAAGACACACATATGCATCAAGAAATATGACTCTCACAAATCATAAATCATCACATAATAAGGACACGGACTACCTTAGGCCATAACATGACACACATATCAACATTTGTGCAAATGAAAACAGGCATGCATCATGTAATGGACATTGCAAGTCCATGCATCGACAGAAGAAGATGAAAAGATTAGTAAGTAGGGATGTACGACCTTTATTTTTTGTAAAGAAGTAGCCATATTTTAATCAATTCATCGAGGTGCTGTTGAACTTTTGGGTCTGGATGCGGAGGAAGATACGCAGGTGGAAAATAATCCTCTGTCGTTGTATCTACATGACGAAGGTAAATGACGGCCATGCTCTCAATGGAGGTTAGAATCCTAGTTTCCATAGTATCCGACTGCAACCCTCTGGTAATCCTTCAAGTTTTTGCCCAACATCGCTCCAATCTCCTTCTTCAATGGCTTCAACCCTCATCAGTGTGAGATCATCTTCGAAATCAGGGACAACATCGGGACAACAAGAGACATCGTCTGAGTCTTGAACCACCTCACACCCATGCAAAACCGAAGATAGAGGTGTTTTCCGCCATTAATGGATCTAGAATTTCAAATCTGGTGTCGGTGGAGAAGACTTCACAAAGGTTCCACAAATCTGGCATCTGTAATCCCACGATAAAGAGAGAAAGTTCAAGAAAAGACCAGAGAGGAATACAGTGAGACATGAGAGAGAGGAGCGTAAAAAGTGGGGATATGTATGGTTGGGTGGGTGGTGGTGGTCGATTAGATTAATTACGAGTAATGAATGGGGTAAATGGGTAAGGGTATTAGGGTAAATGAATAGGGTAAAAGTTGCTAAAAAAGAAAATAAGGAGATAAAATTGGGACGGACCGAAAATGAAAGAATGAATATAATTTCGGGATAGAGAGAGTAGCAAATAAATTATCTCTCTCCTTATTTGAATGATTTTGTATAATTTTAGTAAGTTTTTCTCCACAATGTCAATGAGACCGTCTAGATGTTAGCATTGCAGTGAAAAACTTACCAAAATTTTATAAAATCATTAGAATAAGAAGAAAAATAATTTATTTGCTAATATTTATGTGACTATCTTTCCTATCATATACGGAGTATATGATGTAATTTGGGACCTCTCCTTTTAAATCAAATACAGCGTACTACGTAACTACTTATAAGTACTCGGTTAATTAATGAGAATGGCTTTTCCGTTTTCGCGTTCAAAATCTGAGGGGCTAACCGCCCATCACCCGTTTAACACTCCACAGTTCGTTTCGATTTGTTGAAGAAATGAATAATTATAGCAATTTGGCATATTTATGTCCGCTCTCATCTTTTATAGCAATATATATACGCGTGTCCTTTGCCAGCTGTATGCTAGTAACTGCCTGACTTTTAGTCCTAACCGGTCACTCACCGCCCCAACCGGTCGTTCCTATCCACTCCTCCCTCTCGTATATATACCGCCTTTCTGTCCCGATAACCCCTCTTCTCAGAGAGGCTCTGCTGTCCCAACTGTACATATCTCGGGATTCCATTTTTGAAACGTTTTTTTCTGAAAATAATTAATTATTGGGTTGTTTCTTTATTCTTTGAATCTGCCCTGCCATGGAGATGACGATGATGCAGAAGAAGGACGAGGATAGGATCAGAGGCCCATGGAGCGCCGAAGAGGATGAGCTGTTGCAGAGCCTGGTCGAGACCCACGGCCCCCGGAACTGGTCTCTCATAAGCAAATCGGTCCCCGGCAGGTCCGGGAAGTCCTGCCGCCTGCGGTGGTGCAACCAGCTCTCCCCCCAGGTGGAGCATCGCGCTTTCACGCCGGAGGAGGACGACACTATCCTCTCGGCGCATGCCAAGTTCGGCAACAAGTGGGCCACCATCTCCCGTCTGCTCAACGGACGGACGGATAACGCGATTAAGAACCACTGGAACTCTACCTTGAAGCGGAAGTGCTCCTCCGCGTCGGAGGAGTCGAACTTTGATCCGCCGCCGTCGCAGCCGCTGAAGAGATCTTCCAGTACCGGTTCGGGTGTGAATTTTTACTTGAATCCGGGAAGCCCCTCTGGATCTGATACGAGCGGTACGAGTCTCCCCCTATCCCCCGTTTACAGACCCATCGCTCGGACCGGCGGGGTATTCCCGGCTTCTGTTTCGCAGATCGAAAAGGGTTCTCCGCCGGCGCCGGCAGATCCGCCGACCTCTCTGACCCTCTCTTTACCCGGATCCGAAACCTGTCACGCCACCAACTCTTCCTTGACTCCTACCAGTCAACCGAAACCATTCATTGAAACCGAAGCCCCACCGCCACCGCCACCACCCAGACCCGCTATTCCACTCGCCCCGGAACCACTCCCGGCGCCACCTCCATTCACAATAACACCCGCCCAGTCCCGTCAAGCAGTGATAACGTTTTTTACTGCTCCACCAACCCAAGTGCCGGAGAAACCGCTATTTAGCCCGGAGTTTCTTGCGGTGCTGCAAGAGATGATTAGGAAAGAGGTGAGGAATTACATGTCTGCGGCGGAGCAAAATGGGCTGTTCATGCAGACGGAAGCGATCAGAAATGCCGTTATCAAACGAATTTGGATCAAGCAGGATTGAGTGATGACCGGAGAAGAGAAATCTGGGGATTGATGGGTGGACTTCAATGTTGAATTTGCATCAGTGTCTGGGAAAAATAATTTTGCAGTAATGTACAGATGAGAAATCGCAAGTAGGGGAAACTATGGACTAGTTTTTATTTTTAAATTTAGATGGTGACCAATGTTGAATTATAAAAAATTTGAGGGACTTGAAGTTTTTTCACAAAATAAAATTCGCATTTAATTCAAAAATGTTTTTTGTGGTATTCCTACGGTTTAAACTTTAAATATGGCTTTAACGGTCTAACACGATTGGGGCTTTAAATGGTTTTTGTTGGTTTATTAACCACACATTTCTTCATTTATGTACTCACTGATAGTTAATGCACCCTACCAAAAATTTAACCGATACGGTTTTCTTTTCTTTTGAAAAGCTTTTATTTTGGAATACGATTCAAATTTTTATCGAAAATGCCTCGGTACATTTTTTTAGCTTGTTAAAAACAAATTACACATGTAAAGATAATAACAAATGCATACAATTCATTTAAGTAATTTTTATATTTCATTCGTGTAATTTTTATGATTTATTTACGAGTCCCATGCTAACCCAAGCTGTTTTCATTTCATAATGAAACTCGCATGACCAAGACTCAAGAGGTTATATCACTTTATGTAGTGTTTTGAGAAATCAATCTACAATCGGCGAGTAGCTTGGTCGCTTGGTTGAGTAGTGGAAGATTTGGATCAAAATTCGATTCCCCGCAGTGACCGGATCTCGTTGGTCGAGTGGTGGGAGATTTGAATCAATGGACCAAAATTCGAATCCCCGCAACGATCGGGTGGATGTCATGAAACCTAAAATAACGCTTGGCCTCTGGTGTGCGTGGGGGTATGCGCCTACAGACACTTTGCTGAGTGAGTCACCGTGACTAACTTTCCCACTATCCCGTCGGGTTGGGGTGAGGCTTTTCGGATGGGAGATTCCATCTTTTTTTGGATTAATTGACAAATCAATCTACATATATAAGGAGTATGAAGTTAATTTGAGAGTGCACAACTTGATTATGGTTAGACCTGTCAACGGGTTGAGTACGGGTCGGAATGTAGTATCCCAGACCCGGATCCATTCGCCTCTATAGGGTTCGAGACCCGACTCATATACCCAACGGGTCTAGAACTAATGTTCCTGACCCATACCCGTTGGGTCTCGGAACCGGGTCAGGTAGACCCGAATCGTCTCATGAAAATCCAATTCTAATTTCTTAAAAAAAACAGAACCTCTTACTACCGAGTACTTTTCTGGTAACAATATGGCACATGAACTATAATTACTTGTTTGTAATTACTCAATCAAACGCAACAATTTTGAGTTGGTTTATAATTTGCAAGATACGTAGTGTTAGAATAAAGAGTAAAATTAATGGCTTTGGAAACTGGACAAACTTTTTCTTGAATCCTCTGCGGTGTGCGGACTCTAGGGTCTCTAGGGATCCTTCTTCGGATTTATTAAACTAAATCGTAATGTGGGCGGCAGCTAATGTAATACTTTCTCCATCCCAATTTGATTTGCAAAATTTCCTATTTTGGTTGTCCCAAAATGCTTTCCACTTTCAACTTAGGTATGTAGATAAGAATAAAGTGACAAATTTACCCTTACTTTTACTTTTTCCTCGTTAACTTAAAGGCATCTACTTTTAGAAAGATGGACAAAAGTGTAAAATGCGAACATCATTTATTGTCATTTCTTAATCCTTGTGCCGGTCAAAGTTTGCAATTCAATTCAGGACAGAGGGAGTATGTATATTAGACTAATATATATATAAATAAATATTAACGGGTCAGGTCCTAAACAGGTCGGAGCTACATATACCATACCCGACCCATTAAATAACGGGTTCGGATCCGGGTGCGGGTAACAGAATTAAATGTAGACCCATACCCATTAAAAAAAGACGGATCCGGGTCGGGGTTGGGTCTGGACCCGATCCATTGACAGGTCTAATTATGGTAGGAAACAAAAATCAAAAGACTTGAATGCTACTATGTTTTTTGTTTGTATGGTATTCCACCATTAGGATTGAAGTACTCAATAGGGAAACATCCTTATTTTTCTTTTTCTTTGCATATTATTTCAATAGTCTTCCTTAGATTTTTATCAAAAACTATTGATTTACCACATTTCGTGCAACATTCACGACTTCCAGGGTGATTTTTAACTTTGCCGGAAAACCACTGTCAACCTGCCACCTCTACCAATTGTGCCATTATAGAAAGACTAAAAGATGTAAGAATATTTAAGAAAAAATATAAAAAGTACACCCTCCATCCCGGTAATTTCTTCATATTTTCCTTTTTGGGCCGTCCCAAATAATTCTTTCAACTTTCCTAAAAAGAAAATCAACTCATACTAAAAACCTTATTTTACCCTTTCCAAGAAAAAAATAATTCCCATTCCCCTTCCCTTTTACCCGTCCGCATCCCTCTCTCTTTCTCATTTACTCCCACCCGCATCCTTCTCTCTCATTTACTCCCACCGCCTCCTCTTTCTCTATAATTGCATCCGTCTCTCTCAAATACTCCAACCGTCTCTCTCACTTACTTCCTCCATCCCCCCTCTGTAAATATCTACCCTTCCGTCTCCCTCTCTCTCACATTTTTATGGATCTAAACCCGAATACTTTGAGTATGGAGAATATTGAACACTTCATCGTCCCTGACAGTGAAGAGGGTGTTCTTTCGGAGGAAGCGGTGGCGTTGGACACAGATGACCTTGTATTGGTACTCCATCCGAGGTGCATGGCTCAAAACTCCCTGGAAGAGGATGCCCTCCTCATAATCCCGGACATTGAAGAAGAGCTTCCCGAGGATGTAAGCGAGAAGCCTGCAGAGGTCGTGGGAGAGACGGTGGACCCAAATCGACTTAAAAGACACAGAAACATTAACATGCATCCTATTCAGAGAAGTCCCCGATTGGAAGAGTCCCTAAAAATAATTTTGCCAAAATGGGAAACAAGGATGTGGGACGTGGACACAGATTAGGGGAGTTTCTTCTATACCTTCTGTTCGTTTATGGTTTAATTCGTACTCTATGTCCATTGTGTGAAATTTGGAGGAAGCAATGATGAAAAAGTGTTTTTTTGATGTTTATTGTGATGCATGTGGGTTGTACATGGTGGTTTGGTATTATAAATGGTAGTTAGGCATACTGTGATGAAAGTATACCTTGTGTGTACTGGTCCTTTATGCATACTGTCATGAAACTGTCCCTTTGCATACTGGATGAAACTAGACCTTGTGTGTACTGGTTCTTTAGGCAAACTATGATGAAAATAGACCTTGTGTGTACCGGTTCTTTATGCATATTGTGATGAAAGTAGACCTTGTGTGTACTAGTTCTTTATTGCACAATGTGATTTTTGTATTGGTTCATCCTGTGTGGCATGCTATGATGAAAGCATTAGGCTGTGATATGATACTCTATGCATGCTATGATGACCATATGATTGTGTTTGGGTAGTTAATGCATACTGTGATGACCATGACCCTCTAATGTGGTATTTTATGCATACTATGATGAGCATATGAAAGTATTTTGGTAGTTTAAGCATACTGTGATGACCATGATCATGTGATGTGGTACTTTATGCATACTATAATGACCATGATCCATGTGATATGGTACTTTATTCAGTACCATATGATGATCAGTACTTGTGTGTGGTGTGTATGCTGATGTTGTAGTTATTCATAAGGTCTGAGTGTGCTGCTCTTGTCCCAAAATGATGAAATCATTATGACCATTGCTAGATCACTATGCTTCTACTATTACAAAATGTTTGACTATGCTTGTACTTCTACAAAAGGTCTGAGTATGCAACATGTATTACAAAATGTCTGAGCATGTTAGTACTAATTCTAAATGTCTGACTGTCCTTCAAAATTAAGGCCTGTACAAAAAACAAAAAATTTAAGGCCTATTATGTCTGAGCATGTACTTCATCAATGAAGATGATGATGATCATCATCTTCTTCAATTATGAAGTTCCCCTGACTTTCAGTATTCCCCGTTTGTTGCCCTAAAATATGTTCTGTTGCTTCCAATAATTGATCATCTACCTCAATTGTTTTTGGAAGCATCCTTTCTGACTGCATCCTATCCTTTGCATTGTGTGGTAGCTTGTAATTGTTACCTCCCTGCACTTTCAGAACTTCAATCATAACATACTGATAGCTTAGCCATACTTTGTTTAGAGTCATAGGTGATAGTTGTTTGAAAGCATCATCCGTTGCATGTAACAGTTCATCCACTGTCTTGGGTGCATTCTGGTCTTTCAAAGATTGTATTGCCCTTAAAAACCCTAGGTCTAGGATGTTAAGGTCTGGAGAATTGGGGGGCTGGTTAGAAGGGTGATTGTAAACCCATCAGCCATGGAAGCACTCATATACTCTGCATCATCATGTGAAATGTGTGGCCTTGCATTGTCTTGTTGTATTATAATTTCTTTGCTTATATGTGGAGGCCATTTTTCCTTGATTACTGGGAGGACCATGTTGATTAACACGTCCTTGAACATTTTCTTTGTTATGCTAAGAATAGGCTTGAATTCCATAACACCTGCATTTCTGTTTTTGTTTCTTCTTTTTGCTGCAACTTGTTCAACAAATTGAAACATGCATATTTTTCCATCCCAAATGACCTCACCACTTTCTGAAAAAAGGGGCCTACCCACTGCACCTAGGGACATTACCTTAGTTATGAACCTCTTTGATTTGCATACTCTGTGTGGATCAGCCTCTTCCAACCCCATGTATAATCTTTGAGATGTTTTTGGCATGAAAAACCATTTTTCATCTATGTGATTCACATTCTGAAATGTTTGAAAGGTAGACTTCTGTGGCACTGACTTCTCTATCTGACTAAGACAGAACTTCAATCTTTGCAATTTATTTGCATCACTTAGAAATGGCTTTATTGCATTTGTATGTGTTGGAAATATTTTATGGTGTTCAATCTCATTAGTTATCTTTGTATTTGTGTAGTTATCAATTAAACGTGCAATACGGGCCACAAATGTGTATCAGCCCGGGGGCTTCCTTGTAACCCGTAAGTTAGCAAACTTCTCCTATAAAAGGAGGCTAACTTACGGGAACTCTAACTAACGATTGAGGCTTAGAGTGCGTAGAGGCGAGATAGAGAGAAGGGTTTCCGCTGCTCTCCTTCTCGAGGGAGAGCAGCGGGGTTTCATACG